ATAAAAAAGGTGTCTTGGATTTCCTTTGAAAATATATTGAAAATTATGTTCTCTTAAAATATCTGCAGTGCTAACTTCTGGAATATTGCACTATTATCACCAACCTGCCACCACTTTGCTTTGGTAGTTATATATTACGTCTACTGAAATTTTATTTTTTACATGACACAGTATCGTTAGAGACATCAGAATCTCAATAAACAGATTTTGTAATTTTTTTTCTTTTAATTTCAACATTTTTCAAATAGGTGCTGAGAAAGTCTTGTACCTGAGAGTCTGGAATATTGCTCCCCATTAGATTAATAATTACTAATACTGTTATTTTTTATATAATTTATATTCCATCATTCTGCTCCTGGGGCATTCAGTAATAGTGGCCTTGACAAACAGTCCTGACCCAACTTTAGTACTTTCCTTCTGTATATAAAGAGCTACATACACACATAGGGCCCTGTCCCAATAAATTTACAATATAAATTAAATTTTAAATGGTAAATGGGGAAAGTTTGGAAGAATAAAATCAAGCATTTCTATGAACAGCACGATACCGTTAGGCAAATCGGTGTTCGTACTGAGTCTCAGGTAAGCGTTATAGTTACAACCTTAGACGAAACAGATAAGACAACACCAACACTGTCCATTATACGACGCAAGTATAATAATGGACGGTGCTCAACATCAATCGTGCTCCCGTCGCAGAAATAGAAAAAATAAAGAAGGGGGAAAAAAAGCCGTGAGGGAAATATAGACAGGGCTTTCCAAGGCAGATCTTCCCTGTTGCGAACTGATCTGGGAGACGAAGAGTGAATGGAGACGGTGGGTGGGGTGGACGGAGCTGCCCTTCACACAGGCATTCCCCCCATAAATGGATGGTTTCGTGCGTACGCGCTGCCCGTCCCTGTCCCCATAGATTGGACTCCACCTTGGGTCTGTCTGCGGAGCTCTCACCGATTCATCCCCGCTGCAGGAATCCAAGCGGCGGTTGCACGCTTTTGGCAACCGCAGGCCTGGGAACGAAAGAGCCACTCCCGTGCCTGTGTGTGGGCAGCGGCGGGTTCAAGCACAGGAAAGCACCTCCCGAGTCTATTCCGTCTCCCGCCTCCGCTTTGCTTGGCAGCTCCAGCTCGATGGTTTTAACCCTCCTTCTGCCAACCACAAAGGCGCGCCAGCTGCCCGTAGAAGTCGTTGAGCTGGAAATGAATAAGGCGAAGAAGCTACAGACGAAGAGACTTAGGAAATGCAGCCGCAAGGAAGAATAGAGGCTAGCACCTATTTGCAAACTTCTTCACGAAACTTTTTAAAAATCTCATTCTAATTTTGAGATAACATCAAGCTCTCAGGATAAGAACCATCGCAGGTCTTAAAAGGATTGTTGTGCAAGCCATTGAAATTATTTATGTATATGTAAATATTATATCTTGCTCCCGAGTAATACGGTCTCATGCATAAGAGATATTCTGGGCTAACAACAATAACAAATAATATACATTTCAGACTTTTTTTTCTGCTTGGAGAAGTTAGGCTGCTGTTCAGAAACAGAACAGAATATGCTCTTTCAGACTTGCTGGATACCCAGATTAACCAGATTTCCAAGGGTAAAAACTGGGACAAATTAAGTTGTATAAATTTACATATTTTATAATATTAAAGCACAACTCAAGTCTCAGGCAAAAATTATTCCTTCCCCACCTCCAAATCATATAAAGTCTGAGAACCATTGCTCTAGACTATTCTACTTACAAGTCATTTTCTGTAGAATGAACGTTTTCATTTTTATTTTTAAGGAACGTATTGAAGAATTCTGTGTAGGTGTTATGACAGCTGACCTTCAACATAAGCAATGATGTTACAGTTGCCAATTTTGTTTAGTTTCTGTCATCTGTTATTCATAAGGGAGAAAATTTGTTGTACAGGTAATGTCAGATAGACACATGACAAATTATACTAAAAGGCATTATTTTTTAAAGTAATGCTCATATTTCCAGAATGGGTGAAAGGTGATACACACATTCATTTCACACATCAGTTCATCAAATAACTGTTCACTGACTTTGCAGTTACAAGCTGTAGAGAGTGCTTTACCTCTTCCCAGAGATCTTGTTTAGCAGGTCTATTAGAATATATGCAGTTCATTAAATGAGTCCCCAACTCCTATTTCTCTAGAGCAGGGGTTCCTAAACTTTTTGTCATCACACCTCCCTTTAGCACAATCCTAATGTACACACCTCCCCTAAAAGTCAGAACACCAAAATGAATACAAATGAGCAATGAAAACAATTCAATGAAATTTTGGGAAAGGTGGATTTATTGTAACAATATAACTAAAAGGTTCTTTCTTCAACCTCCCCTGGACTCTGTCTGCACCTTCCCAAAGGAGATAGACCTCAGAGTTTGGGAAACTGCTCTACAGCCTCAATCACCTATCACAGGCAACTTTCTGGAACTGAGATGCTTGTAGTGTTCCTTTCTCTGTAATAGAAGTCTGGACTTGCAGCCCTGTGAAACAGGCATCTCTCTTTTAGCCAACCCATCTTTCATGTTTCTCAGTTTCATAAGAGTTATTTATCACATTTGTGATTTCTTTTTTTCTAGCTTTGAAAACCTGAACCAGATTTCATCAAAAGGATAATCAAAGAATATAAGAATTGCTGTTTGGACTAGTTCTTGTCAGAAGATTTGAAAGCTTGAAAAGCTTTAACATCCTACCTAACTGCGGGCATTGGAAAGGCCTATGAATTCTGCCTCTGTTGAGAAGCTCCTGCTGCTGCTATTCAAATCAACAAAGTCATAAAAATGTTTAACTGTGTAGTTCTTAGGGTATAAATATGGAAGTACCCATAAACCTTGGTAACAAAGAATTCACTTTCAAAGGGTTACTTTGTCAGCAGCATGTTGCATTGAACTGTGGATGATGTGGGATGTGCACCCCACTCCAAATCAAATGATTTTAGGGATGGTTCTTTCAGTCTGCAGAAAATACTGTTTTTTCCCCTGCTCTTGGTTTAGCACCAAAGTTAGTGTTATCAGCATTTAAACCCAATGGCTTTCTTATAAATTGTTTTTGCCAGAGGTCTTACATATTTCTACACAAAATATAGTAGAAATTTTACCTAACACACAGATAAACTCACATTCCCTCACAATATTTAACAAATCACTACTGATACCAATTTACTGTTATCTTTTTTATTGGAAGCATCAATTGACACAGAAATGTATAATGCCTATTAAAGACTGTATTTAGCCACCTTGATAACATAATTCAAATGATACCAATCTCCTAGAGATATCCATGCTTTCAGCACATTTCTCTGCAAAAGGAAAGACTCTGCACGCAACCGTATGTGTACCAACTTCCATATGACTCAGGAGGTTGATAATGCAAGAGTCATGACTTGCACAGAAGGCAAACCACTCATGACTGTAGATGTGAAGGTTTTTCCCCAGTAGATGTCCTTGCTGGACATGTGGATGTTGCATCCTTTCATTTCAGCAGTGCATCATTTCAACAATGTTAGCAGGGGACAGCTTATCAGAAGGCTAAACTTGGTAAGTGCTCCCAGTGTTTGTCATGCCTGAATAGGATTAACATTTATTTATTTATTTATTTAATAGACTTGTCCCCACCCATCTCCCCACAACAGGGGATTCTGGGCGGCTTACAACAAACTAAAATCAGAATTACAT